CTAGTAGGCTGCCATTTGTATTTTTTATGAATCTGTATACATGCCTTTATACGCATAGCCTGTCTATGGAAAGAGCCCAATCAATCATTAACATGGCTGCCTCCATGCAGGGGGACTCAGTGTCTGGGGGAAAATGCTTTTTAATGTAGCCCCTTTGTATCTTGAATTTTGTACCTGTGCATCAATTTTTCAAATATTTTCATTAATTCTTTAAAATGAAGTTTTACACAAACCAAAATAATCTGTAGTAGTTAAGTCAATTATTTGGCAAATAATCTGTGAATAAACATCATGTATCTTTGGCATTTCCCTACCAGCATGACAGAAAGACCTTAATAGTTACCTTTCAGGCAACCCCAAGGAAGAAAAGTAACTCTTAACAAGTAATTATCTTTACAGTAAAAAATATACAGGAAAAAAAGTGGCCTAATATTTTCATTATTCTTGTGTTTTTTGTTTGTTTTTTCTTTTCTCCTATGATCTGCTTTAAAATCCTCTCATTGCTAATTCTGTTGGAAGGTGAACAGGACAATGGATGAAGCGACGTTCACTCAAATTTTTTGTCTCCTCTTAAATATGTGAAAATCCAATTAACCTTCCTTTACTGGCACTAGACACAAATTGGCTGGACTGGAATTGCCTTTACCAATAATATTTCCAGTACTAACAGTAACCACCACCCACAGTTGAATCAACTCAACTAAACTGTTTCTCCATCTCTTCAAACTATTTTGAACATTTTGTTCTTTGATAAAAATATCAAAGCTAAGTGATCTCCTCTGAGGTCCGCAGGTGTGGCTTGGGTCACATCCAAGTTTCTAGTGGTGACAGTCAGGCCATAGTCCTGCCTGTGCCCCAGGGGTTACCAAAACTAACACACACTTTGTGATGCACAGTCAGAAACCTAGATAAAAAAGACAGCGATTTCTTGCTCATTTCAAATTCCCACAACTAGCTGCCCTTCACCTCTAGTCAGTGACTTTTAAAAATATTATTATTCACTCATCTCACACGCTCAGCTCTTCTACTTCTACTTTCTCTGGAACACTGAAAGAGTCAGGTTCTTTAGGGCATGTCTTATTTTGAAATTCTTTATTGTCATTCCTGACATCATTACCTAATCCAGTCTCCAATATTGTCAGGATCTGGCATATTTTCCCATCAGCACTTTTTTGGGTGCAAGTGGGTGGCAAAATGCTTGGTTTTGCTTCCTGTTCTTTGTTGGCAAGTATCCTAGAAATTGGGTAAAACCACGTCAATGGCCTGGGTTTCTTTTCTGTACCTTTTGTAGTTTCAGTTTTTGGAGGGGGGGGGCTATCCTATTGGCCCATTTCCCTTAGAGTAAAAAAGAATTAGAAAAATAAGTTTTCTAGGATAAAAAATTAAATTTCCAAGACTAGTAGGAAGAACCTCAGAAACTTCAGTCACACAAACTGATTGTTTACCTAAATCCCACATCTGCTACAAGAAAACTCCAAAAAGTTTTTTAATTTTTTCATTTTTGAACAACTGTCATCCTCATTCTTATTGTAGGTTGTAATGAAGCCACCTTAATAGGCAATATTATTGGAAAAGCAAGACTCAGCAGGTACCCTTCTCATCCTGCACAGTCCCATTTTATCAAGCAGGACTATACAAATAACAGACACCCAATGACTGACTCATGTATCTGAAAAGCCCAGGGTATACAGCCTTCTTCAGGTATGGAGTGCCAAAACTTCAGAAATCTCTTTCTTCCTATCTTTTTGCTCTCTTTTCCTTTGAAGTGGCTTCTTTCTCATGCTGGCTCTCTCCTCACAGTTACCAGGTTTCCATTCCAGCAGCTCAACACCCTTCCTAAAGCATGTTTCTTTATAGGTTGTCCCAGGAAAGATTCCTATTGGACCAGCTTACGTCACATGTCATCACTGAACCAATCACTGTGGGCAAGGCTGTGTGCTTTGATTGGCCAGGCCTAAGTCATGGGTCTATTCCTGAAACCCCAGCAGTGCTGTCACTTCCACCTGGAGACAAGGACTGAAATTGTGCAAGGGGATTTCTAAAAGGAAAAGGAAGATATATTAGCAGAAAGGGAAATGGATTCTGCAAGGTTAGGACAAGAGGAGGTCAGTGAAGCACCAAGGAGGCAGAGTTTAAGGAAACACTCATTTTCTGATTCATGTAGGTTCAGTAAGTGAGCCCCTCATCAAATTTTGTGTCCTAGGCTCCTCACTGACCCCTAGTGCTGGTCCCGGATGCTGGGCAAGCAAAAGACAAAATATTCATTGTACCCATATTCAAAAATATCTCCCAGAGTACTTGAAATCCCCACCATTAAAGATTCATTTCTCCATTTTTTTTCCTCCAGGAACAACTAGAAGGCAAATGATTAAGTCAATTAGAATTCTCCATCTACATGCCAACTAGAGACTATCCAGTCAGTTGCCTCCAGGGTCAGCACCTGTTGAAAGCCCCACCAGTAGTAATGCGAGTTGTATTATAAGGGGAGGCCTTGGGGAAGAGGGAGGAATGGCCAATACCTGAGACTATACAGAAGAGTGTCCCTGAGAGGAGAAAAACAACATAGCAAAGGAGATCCAAGATGCTAAAGGCACACTTTTATTCAATCATTTAGTAACATTTCATGAACACTGGCTCTAAGCCTACTTCATCAATTTCCCTAAGTTCTGCCATATGGAGAAATTGTGGTAGTAGGCTGGCAAGTGACTACTTGCAGGAAGGTAGGGCACAGAATATGTGGAAATCTCTAAACAGGAACTCTTTGTTGTAACATCTGGGAAGGCTTATCAGGAGTTCTGAAAAACTTCAGGGAAAAGGATGAATCCCGCCAGTCCTTTGGTATTTGGGTTGCTAGAATCTTTGAAAACAATTTCCCCTCTACAGCAAGGGTTTAGGGAAAGACTAGGGATTGTGTGTCCCTCCTAGGACCAAGGGAAAAAGCAATCTTTAAACCACAAGATAAATAAGTCAAATACCTCTTAAGTTTGGTGCTAAAGACAATTTCCTCTATTCTTCATAGTCCAGTAACTTAATCTTACTTTTCTTACACTCTAGTTGCCTTTGGCAAAAAAAAAAAAAAAAGAGCTTACATAATTGAAATATATCTGCCTCTTATTAAAATCAGGTTTTAAAAATTTTTGTCCACCTAATAATAAATATATAAAGCAACGACTCTGTTTATTAGTTGGAGGTGGCATTTTGAAATATGATTGTCCACTATGTCAACTTATAATGGACCCAAATATTGTTGGGTTGTCAGAAAAGTCATGATTTTTTTTTCTATGTTCTTCATTGCAAAAATGCATCATGACTTTTCCGACAACCCAATAGTGCCCTGACACCAGAGTGACCTTGGTCCAACAGACCACAGCTGTCTGCTTCCTGTGGCAGGCATGTCACCATGGTTTGCATAGTAGATGGTCAAATGCCAGCAACCTTTGAATCTTATAACTCACTTCCCTGTTCAGGGAGTAGCCTTCCACATAAAATGGTTTCCATTGGATAGGCCCCCAAGGAGGGAATGTGATGGCTAGAATGTCTGGTGTCTGTATTTTCACAGTAACTATTTGCTTTATGTCCTGTTGACAACCAACAAATCAGCATCCCGGTTTTGACTATCAGGTTCGGTGTGCTAAGAATCAAGTTTCTGTGCCTACAAGGCTTACAGCCAGATGCTAGACCAGGGGCAAGTTACCAAAACTGTGCTGACTAACCATGAGGTCTCTTAGGGACACACCAGGAGGTTTTCTTTCCAAGTTCTACAACCTTCTCTCACCCTATCAGTCTTCAAACTGGGAAAATTGATGAATACCTTCTTAAGTTCTTCCTTGCCCAACGAATACTATCAGATGAGCTTGTTGCAAGCTGTAATATAATAATTGGCAATAGATTTGTTAACAAGTGTAATATATATTGAGTACCTATTATATGCAAAGCACCGTGCTAGGCATGGTGGAGAATTCCAGGCGGAAAAGAATAGGGTGCCAACTCTCACAGTTTACAGTTCAGGAGAGAGGATATATAAGAGGCAATTATCCCTATTGCTGTATTAGAAGCATAAACTATACTATATGGAAAAAGAAAAGATTAATTGCAACCAGTGACTTCTTAGAAGCCATGGAATCTGAGCTGACTCCACAAAAGGCTATAAGGAGAGTTGCAAAGGGAAAGTTGACTCAAAAGTGCTGGGAAGAGGCCTCCCATGAGGCTGAACATCTGGACCTTGGTAAGTGTGCCATGGAACTTAAGACCAGAGATGGCTGACAGACAGATTGGGAGGACTCTGGGTTCCGGACCACAGCATTTGGCATTACAGGGGTGCTTTGCCTCTAAGGTTAGTTAAATTTTAAACCAGCATAGCTGTGGCTTTTAAGCTCCTCCAGTACAGAAAGACATATCAATCTAATTATGCAATATATATCATTGCATATTATTCTACAATATATTATATAGTTATAGATACATATCAACAATAAGGTATCCTGAACATCATCCCTTTCTTTTATTTGGCTTGTTTCTTTTAAATGACTCAATCTACCTACATTAAAACCCTCAAATTAAACATCATCCAAGCTATGAGCCCCAGAAGAACCCAGGGCTTCCAAGCAGAGGAGAAAAATGCCACCTTTTACGTTGAGACAAGATGGCATTAAAAGCAATACCTAGAAGCCTTGATCAACCAAGTTGTGTTTTCTCAGCTACTCAAAGAGGGCCCTCTGCCTCCTTTAAGTAAAGAGGTCCTTTTCAGCCTCTCCAAGCTGCAAATCTGCCAGGGATACACAGATCCTAAGGGCTCTGGGGAAAACCCTTAAAAACTTGCTGGCCTGAGATCAGCAGCAACATCTGTAGCAAAGCTGCAGTGGCAGAACGGGAAGTTCTGGTCTTTCCAGCTGACTGGGATTCCCAACTTGAACACTTCCTCGAAGCGCTTTCTTCACCCTTTCTCTTACGAAATCTAGTGGGTCCTCCCTCCCCTCTCTGCCTTCTTAAGCCAGCCAGAGCGCGAGCCACAGCACTGAGCTGGAGCAAGGCTGTATCACCCTGTCCCAGCGTGGCCCCGCGGCGCTCCCGGCTGCAGCTGCCCTACACCACAGCAGCTTGGAAGCACCCTTCCCGCAGGTGGGTCACGCTGCTGGTTATTTGCCGTGTACCTTTCGCCACATGGTCCCCCTCCCTTATCTGCTTCGGCCTACCTCGAGCTCCTGCTTTCAGGACCCCACTGTCCAAGCCCGTTCGCACTGGGAAGAACATGCTTGCACACTCCCCAGCGTGCCCCTGCGCCCCTGCGCCCCTCTCCCGGAAAGGCCAGCCAAGGTGCTGCGCTTGATCAGTTAAGGAATTCAGCAAGCGTCTAGCTTCCTGGCGTTTTATCGCTCATCTCTACCCCACGATGCAGAGAAGTCCGAAAGAATAAGACTTAGGGATTTGGATTCCTCTCTGTATCTTACTTCTGGATAAGAACAATCTTGCGGTGCCCATCAGAAGGGATCCTGGAAGAATTTGGTTTGGGCAGTTTCCGCAGTCTCAGATCTGAGGTCACTTCTTGACCAAGAGCTAAACTTTGTCCTGAGATCTGCAACCACTTCCATCCTTAATCTTGATTTAAATTTCCTTCTGTAGTTTGGTGATTGCCTTTCCAGAGAAATGTTATTTGAAATGCAATTGATTGTGAAGAGTAAATAAAACCTTGGTTCCCTGTTTGTTCAGAGGCAGCAGGAAGGTAGTTCTTTCTCTGGATGGTAATTCAGGAACTTTCTTTAAAAGATGACTGGGGTAATGGAAAGTGAACTGGCTGGAGAATGGAAATGGGGGTTGGAGGATTCTATTCCTAGTTCTAACCAGAAGCTCCTCAGCCTCAGTCTCCACACGGGTAAAATAAAAGACTTGTTAGACCAAAGGATCTACCAAGACCAACTCTAACAAGGTGAAAATCCATGACCAAAGATGTTGGCAGGTTTGAAATATACTGACAATCTTATTAATGCTATAAGTATAACCAAGTAATTATTCTCTTCATAGTAATGCAGGCTTCATTTTTACAGGGAAACTGTCCAGCTCTGGAGAGAATCTCTTCCCACATAAGTATCGTAGACTTCTACCACATTTATCTTTCACAGAGCACTCTCAGTTTTCAAAACCCTTCTTCAGCCTTTCTATGTGAGAATGTCCTATTCCCTATAAATGGCAGTCTCATAAATGTCACTCACACGAAAGAACATTTTTTTTCTGATACAGTAGGTGTAATTTTGTAAAATGGCACATTTATTTGAAGCAGTGACTTTTTTGAGATATGGCCTTTTGCAAGGCCCCAAGTGTTTCAGAATTCTGTGATTTAGCACAGTATGAAATTCTACCTGTATGTATTCTACCTGCATGGCAAACATTGCCAACCCATAAAACAGGATGTAGCATTCCCTATTTATCAGGCTTTGAGGTTTTAAAGTAAATGGTACATGTGTTCAGAGACATTGGGTCATACCACCTCTTCCACTTGGCAATGTTTATGATTCTGCTAAAGTTCACATAGCAACTTGAGGTTGGGCATATATATGGCCTGACCCATAACTTGAGAACAATTTTCAGAATTCTGCCTTGCTTAAGCTTGCTAACTCTTGTTAGAAGTAACCAAATAAATTTTTATAAGCCTGTTAATAAATTGAAAACCCCGGGCCTTGAGCCTTGTTCTGAACAGTTTTTTAAAAAAATAGATTCTTTGTCACAGAATCTCAAAATGGAAGAAACACTGAGCAGTCACTCTGCACTTCCTTGTTTCCTGACAGACCGCTATATCACTTTTATTAATGTCATTATTAAAAGAATATAGATCCCCCTTTTAAGGTCTCCCAAGTAGGTTTTGCTGCAGTCACCCTCAGAAACACAATTCAGGATTTCATGATCCTCACCATCTAGTTCTCTTTATAAGGCATTTAAATCTTTTATCAACTGCTATTTAAAAATCATTTCCTTTTATAATTTTAAGAAGGCTTAGAAACTACTGGCAAAACAAAAATACAGTCACCCTTCAAACCTGAAGACTTACTAGGCTATGTGGTAGCTAGTTTCCTCTGGATTACCTTCTGAGGAGGAGGTTATTTGTTAAGTTTCTGCATCCATATCCACCTATAATTTCTACTGTGAAAATTTAGGATAATAAGGTTTTCTGGAAGGGATTTTTTTTTAATTGTGGTTAAGCCAGAGATAACAGAAATAAGATTTACAAAGATGAAACCTCTGAAGTCACCTGTTTGACTCTATTTTTTGTACATCCAAAGCGAATGGGTTGTTAATTAACTATGAAGACTTCCCGAGCAGTTCCAATGATGTTTTAGACCTACTCAAGATATGTTGAATGACTTTTCAGTCATGTCCAAAATGACATGAATCAATTGTTTTTTGGTTTAGAAGACATCAGTGTTGGAAGTAATAAAACTAGATAAAAACTAAATGAATTGTTTTTTGGTTTAGAAGACATCAGTGTTGGAAGTAATAAAACTAGATAAAAACTAAAGGGTAATTAATGATTAAAACAATGCATGATAAGAAAGCAGACTTGGCTTATTTGTATAAACAATCTATTCTTCCAAAATCATTAAAGAAAAAAGAACAAAGAATGCTTGCACTGTTTGAAGATTATCTTTCAGAAATATACCGCTGCAGAAAAAAATGCAGTATTCTACTAAAAGAAGTATTTCTACTTTAAGTAAATAGGCAGGACACTGACATTCTAATCTGAATGCTTCTCCGCAATGTTCTAGGAGAGTTTATTCATCCATGTGGGAAGGGGTCTTACCATATTGTATGTACTTTGACAGTCACATATTTCTGAAAACTTTTGAGAGAAATATGTTTATTTTAAATGCAGATTACACAATCAGTCCTAATGCCAGGATGGAATAAAGTTTGATTTTCATCTTACAAGAAAGGAAATGTGTGCAAAGGGTAATTTTGAAAAGTTAGGAACTATCATTCTGAATAAAAGGAAAGCTAAGAGGTGTTTTAATGTAACTGTATAGCGTACCTCTTAGCGGGTTTTAGAACACGAACTAGATAGATAGTCTCTTTTGCCTCAGCTATAAACATTGAAGGGAAAAATGGCACTAAAAACAAACAGAGCCAGGGGCTCCAATCAGGTCAGTGATTGTGATGGCATGAACACCGAGAGGCACAAGATTAGGAGGGGGAATTAACAGTGGGTACTGATTTTGCACCTTTCATTTACACGTGCTCTTTTTACAGGGTGTAGAAACAGCTTAGAGCCCAAGTTCATCAGTGGCTGAAGCAATTTTGCACAGACATTGGCTAACTTTCTTGGCCTGTTTCCCAGGCAGATTAGTGTCCCTTCTCTGGCCTGGGAGCCACTCTGCACATTCCTTTGTTCACATCCTCACACATTGCGTTGTAGCAGTTGGATCACGTGCCTACATCCTCCCAAGACTGGGGCCTCCAGAGGATCAGACCAGTCTCATTTATCACTTCATCCTCTTACACAGCACAGTGTGTGGCACAGACAGGCTCTTCAATAAATCCATCAGAACATGAAAGCCTACCAAGATATCGTTGGTAACTCTGATTTTTCTTTTTGGAAGATGCTGACCATCATGAGCATAGTAGGTTATGAGCATGGATGTCCCCTGTACTGTGCTAGTTAATAGAGTCAAGTGTCCAGGTTTCAACTATCTGTCATTTGGGGAGAAGCATGAGATTGCTTTGTACTGTACAGTACATAGAAACTAAATAGTGGAAATTATTATAACTATTTTTTTAAAAGGAGAAACACCTTGGTGTGTCTTCTCATTAACCTTAATTTTAGTAAACCTATTGTGTTGCTATACTGGGTAAGTTTCATAATAAATTGGTAACTATAATACTTTGGAGTCTAATTTATTTTAAAGAGTGACCTAATGCAAGTAACGTACTTAACTGAGGTCATGAAAATTGGAATACTGAATTTCTAAAGGTTTGAATCTGTTTAACTTAAGTAAAAACATTTTAACCCTTCTTTAATGTCTGAAGACATGATGTAAAGCCTATTGAACGGTTCAAAAGAATGAAGTTATATCAAATCATTCTTATAAAAAATTATTATGATTCTAGTTATTTCTTCTCCAGTACTAAAACACTTTAGTCCCCAAGTACTAAAATGATTTCTTCATCCTATTCAATTGCCCTGACATAGGTGGTATGGTAAATGGGAGGAGGTTGAGGGAGAAGCAATTAGCAGGTTAGTAAATGGTTCATTGCACTTAATAATTAAAATGTTTGCGATCCTAGACTGGGATCCCAAATTCTGAGAGGTTTTTTATTGTTTGTTTTTTATTTTTCTTGAGGCATGACTGGAAAATTGGAAAATGTGTGTTTGGGTATGGGGGTACACAAACAGGTCCTGTATCCATCTCCCTGAGAGAACAAAGAATTCAGCAGCAGTAACAGATTTACAGCCCACATTGTCTCAACTCCATGTGTGGGGCAGGGAAGAGTCTGGGACCTTTGCTAGGGTTGGGGGAGCCACATGGATTCTGCTTACATTAAGAATCTAGAAGTTTTCTGAGAAGGGAGGCCCCTAAGGAAAGAGATTGAGACCTAGGTGAAGAGTCAGAATTGGAAAAATGTTATCATCCTGTCAGCCCAATTATTTTCCCAGTTCTCTGGTCACATGCCAGAGTCTTGGAGAGAAAAGGATAAGAAATAGAGAAAGAGGCAGTGGCGTGCTGTTAAACAGCTCTAAGAAAGTAAAAAGTCCTGATTTGTAGCATTTGTTGATTTCCATGGTGTGAAAACTCCCCTCATGGCTGATTTCAAACTTTCAGTTGGCAAGCTGGCTCCAGCCACACCACTGAAAAGAGCTGAGATTTAAAACCTAGTAATTAAAAGAGCTATTGGCTTAAAAAATATTTATCAACACGCACTGCTCTCAGGCTTGTTTATCAGAGTATAACACACAAAGGGAGCAGGAGTTTCAAGACCACTTGCTTTCCTGAGGTAAAAAATGGAGCAGCGGCAGGGCCAGATCATACCCCACAGTAGGCACTGCTCTTGACAAACATTAGAGGCTATATGGCCATTGGAAGCTTTTGCCTCTGAAAGTCGGATTAAAAATGGAAAAAAAAAATATGGTACCC